TACCGCTTGGTAAACATATGGAACAAGCTTCCATCTACTGTAGTAGTAGCAACTAATGTTATGCAAATCAAACGGAGACTAGACAACTGCTGGGACGAGATGTTTCTAGAGTATGATTAACAGAAGTCTCTGTCACTACCCACATCCCCCTTATGTAGCCGTTTTGTTTATTTCATCATTACTTCTTTACATCGCACACTTCACACGCAATTACTGCAACAATTTGTTAGCCTCCGGGAAGCTCTCATGACAGGAGTAGCAATTCGCTGAGGTGCGGTGCCTATCAAATGATAGAGACTGTTGATTTCCCGACGACGATCCTGATATTCATCTCTTCTCTTGTATATACAACATCCAACACACAATTGCAAGAACTTGGACGTTCCCTGAATGAAGCCTAAATCCTGTGACGTAATCTGACCATACTTGATCTGTCTGTGTGACCTTAACACCGTTTCTACCGTATTTCCTTGAAACTATGATTTCTCGGGGGTCATCGTCATTTTTCGAGCCGCGCGCCGTCAAGAACCTTCAACACACAATAAAACAATACAACTTCCTCATCCACCACCCGTCTTCAATGATGACTGCCGGCTACAACACGAACGATCGATGGAGCACCATGCCGTCCACTTTTGAGCTCACCCGATACAAGAATCTGGACTCTATCTGGCTTTGCCGGAAGTCCTGTGAACTGCCCTGTCCTGGTAATTTAAACAAGCCCGTTTGTTTTACTGCTGCTCTTCAGCACGGCGGGCAGTTTAGCGTACGGCGAATTCCCAGCAGTAGATTCCCTTCAGGGTCTTCGACCACTTCCTTCTCAGTGGTTATGGCCCTAAAACGCATCCACAAGGTACTGTCAATGAGTAGTTTCGCATCGGTGGTTTCAGGAATTGCAGGATCTAGGCAGGGATCCTCCATTTCAATGCTCAGCTGGTCCTGTTGGTGATGATAGTAAGTTCCTCTTCAAATTTTTCTAAAAATCAGTGTTCAACTGGCAGGCCACGATAATGGGCCCGGTAAGTGTTTTCGTGTAATATTTCTACTCTTGTTAGCCCGAAAGCGCCTATGAGGGAGGTGTTTTCTTTTTGAAAATAATATTTCCCACTGACTATCCTTTCAAACCACCTAAGGTAAGCCTATCTGCAAGTAGTACGAATCTTTCTAGGTGAGCTTCACCACAAAAATCTACCATCCAAATATCAACGGGAATGGCAGTATATGTTTAGACATACTGCGCGGTCAGTGGTCTCCTGCATTGACCATCGCCAAAGGTGAGGTTTTTCGTTCGTGCGATACATGTGTTTCAGTTCTACTTTCTATCTGTTCTCTGCTAACGGATCCCAATCCCGATGATCCCCTTTGTCCGGACGTTGCACGCCAATATAAAACCGACCGAAACAAGTACGAAGATATTGCGAGGGAATGGACCAGGAAGTACGCAATGTGAAAGTTCGCAGTGTCACCGCTCTTCCCTGACGTGTTTACCAACGATCTACGTGTTACTTTCATTATTGATCATTATGTTTCAATCACCAGTGTAACGAGCTACTCGAAATCAACTGTGGTTATCACCTGCCTACAGCCTGTTCTTATGTTTCTTCATTCTATGGGTCCTATTGTTCCCTCAATTCTGTTTCATGCGTGCCTCATTTCGTGCTTACTTCACATCACAGGTTGAGCTTCAACTACCACCCTCGCTGCATTTATTCCTTTGAACTTCGGCATCATCAGCGCTGAAATCTTGTTTATGGTGAGGATGTTTCCTTCGTCATGGGATACTCTTGATGGCATATTTGGTGTTAACGCTTCAGTTCATTAGCTGTCTTAGTTCACAGACATTGACCCAGCAGATTGTAAAGAAGAAGCAAGGTTCGTTTGATTATTCTGAATTGTCTTGAACCAGCTCTCGCTTCACCCGTGGCATGTCGAAATGCGTTTGTCCAATGTGAATGCATGCTAACAACACAGCCTGTTGTGAAGTTTTGGGTTTTATTGCTGCCCGGCTACGCTCAGGAGGGGATAGTTTGTAGGTTACACAAGTTCGTATTACCGCAAGCTATTATGTGGAGCTAGCAGTGTGTATATGTATATACATATACGCATTAATTATATAAACATCAAATATGCCACGACAGAAGGAATATGGAAAAGATTTTGATGCCAATTAGCTAGTAAGAATCCCGTAAGGTGAGTGCCATTGATTACGGTTTAGGGCTACACTGGTTAGCGTATGGAGCCATAGAAGTCCGCCGTCCAAGGGAAACGAGTGATGGGAATCCAGACAGCCATGCAGCTGACAGTTTAAGGTTGGCGTCTCGAAGCCCACTTTAAACTAATGTCGGCAGTCGATGGGTCACCACCCTCGACGTGTTCCTAACAAGGTGGTGGCGCCATAAAGCGACCAAGACTAAGGTCGAGATTCTGCAGCGGACCTCAATGTTTTGCTGTCGCCAACATATCCTGGCGATGCAACAAAGGTGATGGTGGTCGCAGACACTTGGTCACCGTACACAGGTAACGTAGGTTGGCGAAAGACACTCGGGCCTTGCGGATTCCAGTGATAATCTCTTCTATCAGTCTTCTTTAATTGATACAACTTCCAAGATTGGTATAATGATTGATCTTGCAACTGGTATGCGCGTGAGGATAGATGCAGTCTAATCAGTCTAGTAATACCTTACATTTAAATGGATGGTCATCCCATACATTGTGACAGACGACTAATTTGCGCGCGATGTTTTAAGCGTCTTTGGAGGAGTCATAGAGTATAACGACTTGAGCATATTCTGTCACCAGACATCACCAATTAAAAGCTCCACACCGGAGGCCCGGTCGTTTATTAAAGCACTTTGTGATTTTGTCCCTTGCGCCATTAAAGGGGAAGGGTGAATAAAGCCAATGTGTCGAAGACCTTGAGGCGGTCTGCATTTAGTTTTGTAGACCGCTTTGAGTTTTACTTCTCAGGCATACTGCTGCCCAACAGACAATCATCTTGATCATTGTACAGCGCAATACAGTGAAGCGAACTCCACTGATTTCTGCCAAACAACGCATACAAGGCAAGTGAGAATGTACAAGGAGAATAGGGGTTGGGGTTTTTAGGGACGGAAAAAGGTGGCGAACCTCTATGGCCAACACCCGGAGTACACCGTCGAACTCTGCATGCATACTATTTCAAGCAGTCAGGACTGATAAGAAGTGACAGCAAAATCGGCATTGTCGGTTGGGAACTACGACCTTCAGTGTCTCCAACCATGCATTTACTGAGTCTTCTGGACATCAACCCGGAAGACGAGAGACACCTACTCTACCTAATCGCCCTGTGCATTTCCTCATGCCTCTTCTCTACGCCAAGTGGTGTTCTCCAGTCTGGAACAACCACTGCGAGTAAGGCTCGCTGCGCAGGCGAACGTCGGACAAAATGTGTCCTAACCAACGGAGCCCATTGAGCTGGTTTCAATGCGATAGTGGGTTCTTGTTCGATGCATTCCCTTCGATGACTTACAGGTTACTGACCTGCTCACGCCATCCCACTTGGGCCAGACTACGTAAGCATCGATTGTCGAAAATCAATAGGCGACGGATATCTACCCACAAGTTCAAGGTCTCAACCGTGAAGTAGAACTGATCGTACAGTGGCTCTGTACACGCGACTTTTCGACTTCTGTAAAACGTCACGCCGCCGCCATAGATGTTTAAATCCTGAGTATGCTGCTTCAGCCTTGACAATGCAGTCGGTTACCTCCTCTGATGCGCTACCGTCGTTGGTCACGCAGCTACCCATGTAGGAAAAGGAGTCGACTTCAATTGATTCCTGACCGTCTGGTTTCAGAACAGAACTCAGCGACACCCAGTCTTGTAGCATCACTGCACTTTGAAGGTGCAAACCACATGCTGAACGGAGCGATAGAACTTGCTGATCTGTCAAGTGCTGTTTGTGCATCCTCCATGGGTTTGAACAGGTGGACGATGTCATCAGCGTACTCTGAATTGCAGTGGTTGAGTTGCTGTCACGCGCGCTCTGGACCTTACAGTCCGAGGTTCGAGCCCCGTCACCGCCATTCAACTTAAGTGACAGGCAGCTGTGCTGTCGTCCGGTTTAATAGCACACCTAACCTACCGGGATCTTGTGTGGCTCACCACTCCAAGTCCCGGTGTTTAGGTTACCGGTTTCCATCACTGAACAGGTCCTCATGACTATGGGGCTTTCCCCGTCAACTGTTAATCACACGAAAGTGTGTAATAAAAAACAGCTTTTCTCCAGCTGCCAATTCAATACCTACATCTTATAGATCACTTGGTGTGTTCTCTGGTATTTCATCTAAGACGAAATTGAAGATGAGTGTCGAAAAAGGGCACCCTTGACGAGCGCCGCTGCTAGTTATGAACGACGCACTCGGTTCGCCGTGGGACCTTGCGCTACCAGAAGTATGCGAGTTGAGTGATGTCAGTATGCTCACGTACTTCTGCGGCATTCCTTTGCGAAAGAGCGAATCCATGAGGGATTCAGGATCAAATGAGTGGAAGGCTCCTTTTAAGTCAAGGAACACGACAACCGTTGGTCGACGGTGCGTATAGCGTAGCTTCGGGACTTGACGCAGCGTGAAGATTTGATCAATACAGCCGCGAACTGGTCGGAACTGCTTGTTCGTAGATATTTGTCTCCCTAAACGGTGTCAGGCGTCGAATTATGATAGAGACCAGTAACTTGGTGAGGATTGAGATCAGACTTATTCCACGGCACTTTGCGCAATCGTCGCGAGATCCCTTCTTAAAAACTCGAACAATTAGTGATTCGCTCCAGAATGATAGAATGCGCTCGTGTGACCAGATGTTAGGCAATAAATTAGCAATTGAATCTATGGAATCATCGCCCCCCCCCATCTTCAAAAGAGTGAGAGGAGGCCTTGTCCTGCTGCCTTTTCTTTCTTCAGGACTTGGGTGCAAGATCGAACTACTGGAGTTGGAGGTTTAGGCGATATTGCTCACGGAACCTCAGCTACACCAGAGGAGGTAGTATGGTTAGCGCCGGGCCAGCTGAACTGTTCGTTGAAGTCATCCGCCCACCGGTCAAGCCGTTGTTCCCTAAAATGAATAGCTTGCCCACTTTTGTCGCAGATTGTTTCAATAACTGTGGTTCGCCAACCTCCCGTGCTGCGTTTCAGTTGACACAGGCTTTGACTATTTCCTGATGCAGCTGCTACTTCCATTTCACTAGTTATCGTTGCCCACCAGTTCTCACGGTCTTTCTTGAGTTGACGTTGCAGATGCCACTTGGCCCTGCCTTGATCCCGGGCGATCGGGATTGGCCGCTTTTTCTCCAATGCCTCGGGCCGTCGCTTCAGATCCACAAGCAACCTTCGCTGCGGAGTGCGTTGCTCGTCTAATCTGATCCCATTGTTCATCTACGCTACCGTTCCTGCATCGCGTTTAGCTCTTGTCCTAGTTCTGATTCTTAGCGGGCACGAACGGCCGGGTCGGATAAACGGTGATCTACCACTCGAGTTTGGTGGGGTCTTCTGCAGCCAGTGAGTTGGAGAGTGAACTGCATCAAACTAACGCATGATCAAACTCAACGCAGGTGGTCCAATAGGACCTGCAGTTTTGTACTGAGCCGCGCCAACGGTAGCTTACTGCTCTGTGGTTGATCTGAGTTAGCGTGCCAGTTGAGTTTGAGCCTCACGTTACTGTCCGTTAAGAACAGTGTCGGAAGTTGGTGCTGGATAGGAACAATAATCGGCGCAGGACTGAAGAAGTCGACCGCCATTATCTGCTCGCTGACAGGGCAGAGTACAATGACCGTCTAGGCAAGCTTCCGATGGGCTCAGTTTTCCAACTTGAGCTTTAAAACCACCTGCGAGAAGCTCAACCGAATGAGTTCGGTGAGTTCATCACAAAACTCGTCCTTTTGTGCGTCAGAACTGCAATTCGTCGGAGCATACGCGGTGATGAGCACACAGTTCAGTTCAGTTTCAGTTCAGTTTGAACAACCATTAACCATGCACTTTCGTGCGCCGGTTTTGGTTGCTGTCTTTTGGCTGCCCATTGGGATAAAGAATAGGAGAAGAAAGGAAAGTTGAAAGTGGATTCGAAAGGAAAATGGAGAAGTTCAGTGGACTAAGGTTGGGAAGAAATTGAGGAGATGCACGAACGCCACTGTTTACGACACCCAGCCATATCGCTGTGTCTCTAACCATCAGTTACAATCATCCCGAGGTCCCCAGCCAGGGAGCCTAACAGGACCTATGTGACCCAGTTT